AGTGTTGTGAGCTTTCTAACGTGCCGTCACGATGTACTTCAAGAGAACTGTACTTGCTATGGAAGCTCTCCTATATTCTCTGTGGTCTCATCATGGAATGTCTTAATCACTTGGGTTGGGTTCTTTATTCAGAATGATTTGCAAGCAGGGACATGAAAATAAATGTAATAAATACTAGGACATTGCCAATTAATTAAACTAGTTAGTTGACCCATGGAATATCCAAACTTAGGTGTTTTTTTTAAAAATAAATATTTGAATAGTCATTTTTAGATGTTGGTTGTTGACTATAAAGATGATAATACTTTATACTATTTTAATAATAAAAGCAAAAGGCATTGGTGAAATGGAAAAAATTCCAGAATTCAGGAGACCTGATTCTAATTTTGCCTTGGACAACTAAATACTGGTATATCTCTGAGCACATTATTTTAACTCTCTGGGATCCTTCTCATCTCTAAGATGTGAGAGTCCCTCCCTATTCTGAGATTCTATGAAGACATAAATTATATTTTCAGGCTTTGGATAAACTGTCATAATGGTGTATGAAAGAAAAACAGAGCATGTGTTTTGAGTTTTAAATGTTTTGAGTCTAATAGTTTACTTTTTAAAGTAGGGCATCAAAGCACTATTTAATTCAACCAATTATTCAAAAATATTTGAGAGTCTATGTGGTAAGTATTGTGCAGAACACTGGCAAGACAAATGCTGAACAAAGCTTACTTTGACATCATGGGACGTCTTTAATTATTGCCTTTATTTGAAGGAAACTGTATTAAGGGAAACACATAGGAATTCCAATTTGTTGGAGATGTCTAGAGGAAGCATTATTTACCATCTACTTTGGGTGGTGAATCTCTGGGGGTATAACCCTCATAATAAAAAATAGTCCTAAAGACTTAGTTGAAGGTGTCTAAATCTATTACTACTTTATTTATTTTGAAATAATTTAATACTTGGGGACACATATTGAGGAACTATCAGGGACTTTACATCAAGGGTGAATTTAGTAACTCATTTATTTGGATTCTGTTCTCACAAATGACAGTTGCCTAGTTGCTCTCTTGCTTGGATATCAATTTTGGGTTTGCAGATATCAGCCTTCTACCAGACAACTCAAGGGCAAGGCTTCTCTCGGTTTCTTGAGCAGAATGACGGGAAGAAAAGTAACAGAACTGGGAGGGTGGCCAGTAAGGGGAGGAAAACTACAGACCTGCGGCATTGCCCAAGAAACCGAGAGACCAGGGAGGAAGGAAAAATGGAGCGGGAAGCCTGAATTCAAGTGGCAAAAAGCAGAGATTATTATTTTGGGAAAGGAAATTACATTGGTACATGCCTAGGAAAGAATGAAAGGACATACAAATGCATATTTAGCCTTTCCTGATATTAAATACAGTGAACTCGCTGACATGTATAAACCCCCCCCAAAAAAAGCTTTAGAAAGTGTGAGTGTAACTAACACATAGACAATGAAAAACATAAAACATACAAAATATATTTGCGAGATAGAATATTTGATGCATTTAGACATTTTAATGAAAACTTTTAAAATTTGGGGCTCAGTTTGGCTAACAAAGTTCTGAGAAACAGATTCATTACAATTATAAAATTAGACAAAGTATATTCCAATAGTTTAATGTTTTCACATTAAACTATTGGAATATAATGATCTAAATGATCTAAAAAAAATTTTTTTTTCTCAATAATTAACTTGCTAGTGACCTTGTTGGAAGAGTTAATAAAACACTTGAACTGATGTCAAGTAAAAAAAAAAAGTGGTAAAAAGCACTTTATTTTGTTGGCATAGCCCAGCCAATTCATTAAAAAAATTAAAACTGAAGTCCTTTTTGTCTCTCTGGCTATGACTATATGGCTATATGACTCACACATGTACACAGGCATATATAATCATTGCAGATTCAAACACTTCCATCAGACTACTGAATGTTATATGGCAAAAAACCTACTTTATAAATTCTATAAAAATACGAGGACATATATAGTTGGTAGAATGTGGGTATTTCACAATGAATTAATTTTAAATTAGAAAAAAAATCGATGAAAGAGGAACTACTTATTTTATTTGCCTGAGAATGTCAAACATTCTTTATCCATTGCATTTGAATGAATCTGAAACTAATTTGTATGTGTGTCTAAAGGTCTAGCTGTGAGACGCGACAGTCACCCAGCTAAAGCCATATGTGTTTTGTGAAAATGGACAGTGCTCTATTTTTGTTTAACTTCAGCTCAATTTTCTTTTCGTTTTTATTGAGATGGTATCTTGCTATCTTGCTCAGGCTGTATTTGAACTTCTGGGTTCTAGTGATCCCCCGTCTCTGCCTCCTGAGGAGTAGGGCTTTTATTTTATTTTATTTTTTTATAAACATATTTTTTATTTTAAAATTGTGGGGTACAGTTAAGGGTTAGGTATACAAATATGCATCGTTCAGGCACCCTTGTTGATAAGGGGTGTCTCCCCGTCCCCAGACAGATATTGACTACCGTTAATCCCACCTCTCTTCCCCTCCCTACCCCCCTATAGTTTCCTGCCACTGTCAATCCTTTTCTTACAGTATTATGATAGATGTTCAAGGTCCACTTATGAGTGAGAACATGTGATACTCAGTTCTTTGTTTCTGTGTGAGATCACTCAGTATTATAGATTCCAGGTTGCTGCGAAATTCATGATTTTGTTCTTTTTTACGGTTGCGTAGTATTCCATCGTGTATATGTTCCACATTTTTAAAAATCCAGTCCTCCTTTGATGGACAGCATGGTTGGTTCCAGGTTCTTGCTATTGTGAACAATGCTGCGATAAACATACGTGTGCAGGTATCTTTTTTATAGAATGATTTGAGTTCTTCAGGGTATATTCCCAGGAGGGGGATTGCGGGGCCATATGGGAGGTTGATATTTAGAGCTTTTAGGAATCGCCACACTGCTTTCCACAGAGGTTGCACTAGTTTACATTCCCACAACAGTGTGGCAGCATTTCCTTTTCACCACATCCTCTCCAGCATCTGTTATTTTTTGAGTTATTGATAATTGCCATTCTGACTGGAGTAAGGTGTAGTTTTAATTTGCATCTCCTTGATGATTAGTGAGGTTGAACATTTCTTCATGTGTCTGTTGGCTGCTTGGATGTCTTCTATTGAGAAGCGTCTGTTCATATCTTTTGCCCACTTTATAATGGGGTTGTTTGTTTTTTTCTTTTCTGCACGTTTGAGCTCCTTGTAGATCCAAGATGTTAAGCCTTTGTCAGACCTGGAGTTGGCAAATACTTTTTCCCAGTCTGTGGGCTGTCTCCCTGCTCTCTTGATGGTTTCTTTGACTTTGCAGAAGCTTATCAGTTTAATGAGGTCCCACTTGTTTATTTTATCTCTTATGGACCGTGCGTTTCAGGGGTTTTGTTCAGGAATTGGATACCAGTTCCAATTTTGATAAGGGTGTGTCCTACATTTTCTAAGGTTCTTATGGTTTGAGGTTTTACATTTAGGTCTCTGGTCCATTTGGAATTAATTTTTGTGTTTGGGAAGGGCTTTTATTTTAAAGATAGGATTTGACAATGGGAAATAACATCAATGATTATTAGCTTGTTAGTACAGGTGATAAGTGATTGTATATTCCTTTTTAGTGTGTGATTTGCTGACCTTTAAGGACTCTGAGAAGTGCTGGCAGGGTATTTAAGTATTACTATGTATTTTTTTCCCCTCAATGTCATCATCACTTTTGTTCACCTTTTTATCTTGTTGCCTCTGTTAAACAAAACTGGAGGTAAAATATGAAAAAGTACATGTTTCATCAAATGTGACAGCAAAATAAATGCATTATGGCTAAACATATACATTATTGATCATGGCTTATCAAGAAGGTATAATTTTCTTTTTTTGCAATTTCATACATGAGTGGGAAGAAGAATAATTTAAGTGACACAAACAATTTAAGAAACAACTTGCAAGCTCTATCTTTTGAGGGGGTTTTCACCTTTTCTTCACTCTCATAGTCAGGGAGTCCTTTGTTGCATGAGACAGGGATTTAATTTAAAATTCAAAGCCTCTGTTTAAATTCTGATTCTATTCTTGATATTGATGATATCTAGTGTTTAGCATAGTACTTAGTACCTATTGGGTGTTCAATAAAATGCTCAGGATAAGTGGATGGATGTTTTGGTTTAATTGTCCTTTTGTGTTAGTATTTCTTTTCTGTTTGATTTTTTTTTTGGTGATATATTTGGTTCTATCAAACAAAATATTTAGATTTTGCATCCAGCCTGTGAGAGACATATTCAAGTGTTCAAACCTGTTTGAATTTTGCTTACACCTGCTATTTAAAGCAAAACTTCAGGAGCAAGTTGTTTTGCAAAAGGAGCAGATGGAGCAGTATTCTCCTCTGAGGACTCTTTGTGAGTGGTCCGTTAATATTTTAGGAGAATAAATAAATGTAAAGACTCTTCTCTAGTCTGGATTGCTTATATTTTCTGTACAATTCTGTCAAATGAGAAAAATATTTGTCAGCAGTTGGGTTACTGTTGTCAAAAATGCACTGCCAGGAGATGGAAGAGACATCATCATGGTCCTCAAACATCACTTCAGGACAGCATCTGGAAATCTAGAATTATGTTATGTAAGCTCAGAGCACCTCAGACATTGAGGCCTAGACTGATCTAGCAAGTTGGGGAGTTGGAAGTATCTCTGAAGGCTGGAGATTTGTTTGGGCTGTTGTGGGAATTTTAGAAAGTGTACATTCTTATAAATAGAATAGTGAGAAATCACTTCCTGAACAGGCTTTATTTGAGGCTTATTAGACAGTTCTTCATTTAACCTAGTGGCGTTTGAACTTCAGTGAACATAAAAAAAGACACACATGAAGGAAATTGTTAGAATGCAGATTCCTGGGTCTCATTCTCAGAGGGCCTGGTTTGATAGCTCCAGGGAGGAGACCAGTCTCCACATTTCAAACAAAACAGGTGATTCCTTGGCACACTAAAGTTGTGCCTCAAGATGGCGGAATTCCACACCTTGAGGACCATTGATCTGAGTCTGGTGAGCTCTGCAGACAGATTTTGGGGAATAATCGTTCTGGAAGTGGCTCCTTTGGGCTGAATGTATTCCAGGCAACTAACCACTGCCTTAACGGGGACAGGGATGAATGCGGTCACTTGGCATTATTACCACCACATCCTATGGCTACATTCTTTGTGATCAAAATAAACTTCCTGGTTGTGAGAAATAAAGTGTTTGAGGTTTCACCATTTGTCACTTTTTTTTTTGAGTCGGAGTCTCACTCGGTCACCCAGACTGGAGTGCAGTGGCCGCTCCTGGCCACCGCAGCCTCGACCTGCTGGGCTCCGGTGATCCTTCCGCCTCAACCTTCCAACTAACCGGAATTACAGGTGCGCACTACCACGCCCAGCTGATTTTTTGATTTATTGTAGAGAGGAGGTCTCGCTGCCCAGGCGGGTCTCGAACCCGCGGGCTCAGGCAATCCACTCACCTCAGCCTCCCAAAGGCGCGGGATGACAGGTGGAGCCACCGAGCCCGGCCATTTGTAACTTTAATTATTTGTGTACTGTTTTCTCATTTTTCCTGAGATGTTTTCGTTAACTGCCCTATGTTTATGTTCAGTAGATCATGTCATTGCTATGTCTTGTGGCTTCTTTCTTCAAAACAGAGAAACAGATATTCAGAAAGGTTGGAATTGTAGACAATAAGGGAGAAAAAGCATTGCTGTGAGGGTCAATTTGTCATTACTATTTGCTTTTGTGTTTTTCAGAGTGAGATTGACGCAAACATTTCTCAAATGCTCCACCTACTGGTTCATTTTGAAGGAGCTGTTTGTTTGCATGGCAATGAAAAATTAAAAAGGTGAAGGGAGAAAAAAACATCTGAATGCTAGATTTTTTTTCTTTATGGGAAGAAAACAATAGAATGTTCAGATATCTGATGTAAGGGGGCACCCCCGAAACCCTACCAAAGTTCGACAAAAATAGTAATGGTTGCTAATCTTTACATCCTTAGTTAATAAATTGTTCTGTCATTCAGTGGCCAAGTTGGGTAGGGGTCTAGTTGAACTCAGCAAATAAGTTCAAATGGTGAGCCAACATTTGAAGAATTTGCATTTGCAAACAACTCTAACCAACCTGGCACGAAAGGGTGCTCTCTGTGTAGAAGTTACCTTAACTGTGAGTTCTTGAAGTCCATTTAACTCCTTTTTCCACTCACATAAAACATTTGCTATGTGTGAGTCTACTGTGGCCACTGGTGAAAATCAGAATGCTCTAAAACATGCACCTATACCTTGTTGCTTTATGACTATGCTTCTTCATACATGAACCCTCCAACTTAATATTGAGAGAAGATAGTGTTTCCTGACTACATTTCGTATACATACACATCCTGTTTTCTGTTACTTCACTTCTTTTCCCTGTAGAATACTAAGTTATTGCTCACAACTTTATTACAAGACTTATTTTATCAGACTGTGATCTTGGTTTATTCTGTCTCCTTTAAACAAATCAAATCTAATTCATCCATGTATGCCCATGCCTAGCAGAGGGTATGAATTTTAAAGGCACTCAATACATGCTTGTTTATAGAATTGATAAATGATTGAATAAGTCCTTGTGTAGTTTGTTGTCTGTGTGGTACTGCTCTGTAGGCTACAATTATTTTTGCTGCCATATTTTAGTAGATTATTTTATCTAACTGTTCTGTTTATAGCTTTTTCTCAAGCACCAATAAGAGTAAATATAGTTATAATTTTTTAGAAGGCTTTAAGATTTTCAAAAGATTTTAAGATTTTCAAAAGATTTTAAGATTTTCAAAGATTTTCATACCTGGTGTTTTCTTGGAACTTCATAATATACTGTAGATTTTGTGCAAATTATCTCTAACTTTGGGTAGTATGATTATCTTAAAATGTCTGTATACAGAACAACTATTTTAAGGAGTCTATGTGCTACAACTTTTAAGGTTTGTTTATTATCTCCTAAAGAGATGTGCATCTATAAATATAGAAATAGTATCTCTTTCATGCTGTTTTGTTCTTTATTATTTCAGTATGTAAGAAATCTTGTAATACCAAGCGATCTATTAAACAAAACTCCACCAACTCGCATGTCCACAGATTTATCTTACGGTCATAATTAGTGAACATAATAATGGCACTGGAGGAATAGTGTCCTTGGGGAAGGTGGTAAAGTTAGAAATTATTAATTCAAGGAATGAGGAAGAGAACTAACCAGGCACAGGTGGAAGTACTACTGGGCATTATTTGAGGGCCCAGTTGTGGTTGGAGATGTGAATTTGTAGACCAAACTGGGAGGATAAGTATGACATACAGAGATATAAAGCAGTGAGGGTATCAATTGTCCAGTAAAGGGCCTATATTATGGGCAACCCATTGTAGTAGAGGGGTATGCCTTGGGAAATGATGAGGGAGAATGTCAATTGAGGCAGACTGCAATAATTCAAAGGCATTCCTAGCCTTCCTGGTTGGACACATTGGATGCTAAGGTTGTTTAGTATATATCGAGGTCTTATTCTCTCACCACTCAATTCACTCTCTTAGATTAGGGGATTTGTTTCCCCTCCTCCTAAATTAGAATCAGGACCTGGCAACTAGTTAGTCTTTGAGAAAGTCAGTTCTAACTGACTGCTTGATTAGTATTTACACCATGCTTTCAAAGTTAGAACTAATCCTTGAAAAATGTGAGAATATTCAGCTACATCGTTCAATATATTATTTCATTACTCCACTGTGAGGTTTGCTTGGCTCAGACTTGATGCGTCACTTCTTGAGTCTAAGAAAACCTGTTGGATAGTAGAGTAATGAGTGGCTACCAAAACATTTCCAATTGTATCAGAGAGTGCAGTGGATATTTTCTAATCTAAAAAGGTGGAAATTAGTTCTGGCGACTCAAACATTCCAGGCGAGCTGTCACATATGCGCTATCAATTTGTAAGTGAGCAGATGAAATTCAGTAAAATACACTTACAGAGTTAAAGGATCTTAAATTTGTTTATCAGTCTTTGATAACCCCAAAGCTTCTCCCGTGTGTTTCAGTGCCTCAGTGGTTTTCTTATGAGTACGGATTGTCACTCTGTTATAGCTGCGTAAACGTTCTGGTCAGGGGAATGTTGCAGATATCCAAATGCTTGACAACAGCAAACTTCCTCTCCATAGAAGCACCGAGGAACTAAATGGTTCTTGTGGTAGGAAAGAGTTAATGTGCATACTCAGTTTCTCATAGCCCAACAAGGAGTCTTGCAGGCAGGGGAGAGAAATTGGGAGTGGATTTTGACAAAAAATTTAGAGTTCTGCATTTTGGTGAATGTATTTTTTCCATAATTTGGTGAATGTGCTTGTCTTGTGTTTCTTAAAAAAAACAAAAGCCTATAAGTCTGTCTGTGTATGTGTGTGCACAGGATGGGTGGGGGCTGATACTACAATTCAATAAATGCCGCATTTTGATTTGTGTTCTAATTCTACTTTGGGGAAATAACTTTTCTGTCTTTATTTCCCATGTCTGAGATCATATATCTCTCACTAATCTCTTGCTCAAGAGTAAATATATAATAAAATGGGAATAGTGAAGTGAAGACATTGTGTTTACTATTATTAATGACTTCACTGTGCCGCGTCACTGCTTTCTTATGCATGCAAGTATTCCTTCGGATTCCTTAACCCTGCTTTCTTGGAAAATAACAGATTTGCGGTCAGGTTAACCCCTGCTGTTATCTTCCATGTCTTTGGATAAATTGGCCTCTCAGAAGCCCAGTTTCTTACCTCTAAAATGAGGGGAACAACTTATATGATTATGAAGATTAAAAGGATAATAATGCCTAGCGCCGTATTGGGAATATAGTAGGTGATCAGTCAATGTTGTTATCTTTCTCTAACCTCTTCTTATCAGTTACCTTATTGATTTGCATGTTGGTAATCACATTTCCTGATACTTTTAGTTACCTTCAGCTACAATCTTTGGCAAAACCTCGATATAATCACCATTCTTCGTAACTCCAGGTTAGTACTCTTAAGATTTTTATGGGAAATATTTTCAACACTTTTGGGTATGTGATATTTCTGTGTTATTCTGTAGATCTAATATACTTACACATGATATTCCCTTCCAGGAATCTTAAACACAAATGTGATCTTATTGGTTTCCTGTTTATTCACTCATTCACTTATCTCATTCATTCATTCAGACAGCATTTGTTCAGCAAATGGGCACTTCCTAACTCAGACAGCCCATACTCATATACTTTACACACATGCATGAAGTGGGACACTCAGACAGAAATTTGATATTGTCATTTTGGATTTAAAAATGTAAACTAAACTCACATTTTAAAAAATAACTAAATGATGCCAGATGCCTACTGACAGCTGACAATAGACAACTGTTGTCCCCCTGTCTTTACTCTTTCTTGATCTTTCCTCACAGCATGATGTGGAGGACATATGGCCAAAGGAATGGTCTGTATGTTAAAAAAACCTGTCAAAACTGTAACAATGATGATGACAGTAATAATAAGTGTTGATTTGTTGAGTCCTTACCATGTACCAGGCAGTGTGCTAAGTGCTTTATGCATTTCATACCATTAAATACGATACGAATGCAGGCGTGGTGCCTTACCATGGTCTACAAGACATCAAGGGCCTTGTCTCCTGATACTCTCATCTGTACTCATGTCTCTGTGACATGCTCCCTGAGTATGCCATGCAAGCATCATCTTGCCTCAGGACATTTGTCCTATTTCTCACATCAGAAATGTCTCAACCCACAGCCCTTGCTCAGTTCTTCACAAGACTGGCCCTTTCGTGGTCTTCAGATTGCAATCCAGTGTCACTTCACCCGGCAGTAGCCATCTCCTACCAACCATTCATTTCACATCACTGTTTATTTATTGTTTTTATGATAGTGCTCACCATCAGAAACGATTATTTATTTACTAGCATGCTTGTTTATTATCTGCCTTTTCTCATTGTAACTTAAGCTCCACAAGGGTGGGTACCTTGCTCTCTGTGGTCTTTACAGCACCTAGAATAGTCCTGGCCAGAGGTGGGTTCTCAGTATGGTTTTATGGAAATATTGTATCATTCTGGAGGAAGCCCTAGGACTTGGAAAATAAACAGTTAAAAATAGCTTATGGGTTGGGGGAGAAGGAGAATTAATGTATTCGGCAAGTACTTTATATCCAGCATTTATTAAGTGCTTTTCTAATAGGTATCATTGGATTTTCAAAATAATCTTTTTTTTTGTTTTGTTTTTCTTTTGACTCAGGATCTCACTCTGTCAACCAGGCTGTAGTGCAGTGGCATTACCCATCACAGCTCACTGTAGCCTCTACTTCCTAGGTTTAGGCAATCCTTCTGCCTTAGCTTCCCGAGAAGATGGGACTACAGGCATATGCCACCATACCTGGCTAACTTTTTGATTTTTTTTTTTTTTTTTTGTAGAGATGAGGTCTTTCTATGTTGCCCAGGCTGGTCTTGAACTCCTTCGTGCAAGTGATCCTCCCACCTTGGCCTTCCAAAGTGCTGGGATTACAGGTGTGAGCCTCCACGCCTTGCCCAGAATAATCTCATAAGAAAATTTAGATTCAGAGAAGTTGAATAACCTGCCTATGATTGCAGTTAATTAATTACTGATAAAAATAAGGTTAGAATCTTGTTCTGTATAACTCCAAACCCCATATGCCCTCCTCTGTATTACATATTTCAAGCCTAGGGGAATGTGGTGGATCTTGTGACGCACTACTTAAATACCCCGTTAGGAATGAAGGACGTATTCCTCTAGTTGCTAGGAGTACTGCTGAGAGGTAGCCCTCAACCGTCAGTCCTCTACACATGCTGCCTGACTGAAGAGAGCTACCTAACTCAAAGTCATGACCCATTCCCATGACTAATCTGCATGGGATAAGAAGGCTGGGGTCCCTTACTTGAATTCAGGCCACTCTGGAGTCAGAACTCCACGTAGGGTCAACTGAGGCTTTCAGTGAGAATGTATCACAGCCCAATTTCTCCCTGTGCCCAATTCTGCTTCCTTCTTTACCTTTTCACAGGGGTTGATCTCAAGAGCACTTCCTAATAAAATTCCCACATAATCTCCTTCTCAGAATCTGCTTCTCAGGGAACCTCACCTGTGATAGTGAGTTTCAGAATGGTGCTGGCATTAATAAAAGCACAAAATTCAGCAATGGGAAGGTGTTATTGGGAAGATATATAATGATAGCCTTGCATTTGGATTTTTAAAATTTAGGTGAAAATGGTCAGCTCTGGACTGTGAGCTCTTTAAACGTTTATATTACTGAATCACCAGTTTCAGCACAGTGCCTGTCTGTCAATTCAGTGAATGGAAATTGAAGATTTGGGACTGGAGCTTGGCTAAGAGCTCAGGCTTGCACATAGTGACTTTGGAGGTGATAGCTAATATGCTGAAAATTGACAAACTCTCAGTGAGAGAAAGAAACAAATATAAGGACAATGGAGAACTAGGAAACAAATTATATAAAAAGAACCAAAAGAATGTAGGTGCCAGGATGTTTTTTTTGTGTGTGTTTGTGGGATGGGCAGTGACTGGAGAGTACCTGGGATCAAGCACCCAGTGGTTGATATTTGCAAAATAATGAAGTACATTTAAGGATGGTACTTTTAAACCCGGTATGCACGAGGTTGCTAGTTGCCTTAGGAAAGTGATGTCAGTCCTGCATCTGAGATAGAGGACTATTTAACAAGGTCTAAAGAAGGAATATATAGTGAGTAAATGAAAGATATCATGTATCTCTGATCCAAAACATTTGACAATAAAAGTAGAGAGAGATAGTTAGCGATGCCGGGGAGGCCGAATACAAAGTTTAATAAAGGGATGAAGATTAATGTTTGCAGTTAACAAAGAAGTAAAAAAAGATGAAGATGGGTGAGTCAGATAGGAATTGAGAAAGGACAGGGTTGCTCATTAGCAGGGATGTCCAACCTGTGGCCCACAGGCCCCATGCGGCCCTGGAGAGTCAGTGATGCGACCCTACAAAATGTTTTAGCATCTTGTGTTTTTTTAGCATTTGTTTTCTTTGTGACCCCATGCATAGTTCCATTTCTGAAGTTCATAATCAAGCCTTATCCATAACATCGCTTTCTGGCAGCACATACATATTTGTGAGCCACTGCTTTCAATGCTGAAGTACTTGAAGAGCAAAATTCGAACAAACCTTTCTGACGAGCACCTTGAGAACTCACTAAACACTGCGACCACTTCCATGGAACCAGACATGAATAGATGAGTTTTATAAAAACAAGGTCAAATGTCCCACTAGTTTTATAGTGTTCTCATTTTTCTAAACTTTATAATAAAAACTGTCAGAAAATAAAACGTCTTATGACGTTATATACGCTAACTATATTCTATAACTTATGTGCTGCCCAAGGTCATTCCTCTTTACTCAGTGTGACCCAGGCAAGTCAAAAGGTTGGACACCCCCGCTCGAGAGGCATTCTCTAAATCCTTTCCCAAGCATGAGAACACGTCTTTATTTAGACCCAAGGGTCATGCAATATGGCAGGCATAGTAGGAGTACAGGCCTCTGTCAGATGTTGGTTTTTTTTTTCCCTCAATATGACAACTGGATCATTTATTAACTCTTTTAAGAGGAAAAATTGAACAACAAAAAAATCAAACATAATGATAGTTTCTTAGTTGGCTAAGGAATAAACAATATTTAGAGTCATAGTAATGCACAGACTGACTATTGACCTAAACCAAATTTGTTATGAACCACATTGAGAAGATGGGGCGTGGAGTGTTTTAGTATTCTAACACCTCAACTACAAGCAAGATATTGGTTTTAGTCACACCTAATTTGTTATAGTCTTGTTTAGATTTTATCATTTTAACTCAACGATTGACCAGTAATTTTGTCTATCAGCAGCTATCGCATTTAAATTGCCATGCTTCCTGCAGTTCCATTGGTGTACCTTAAGGTCGGTAGCTGCATTGACCATGGTCAAATCAGGTCTGAAATACCACGAATTCACCCTTCAGCAATTTGGTTTTTTTTTGAGTTGGAGTCTCACGCTGTTGCCCAGACTGTAGTGCAGTGGCCGTTCCCAGCCACTGCAGCCTCGACCTGCTGGGCTCCAGCGATCCTTCCACCTCAGCCTTCCAAGTAACTGGAATTACAGGCACACGCTACCACGCCCGGTTAATTTTTTGATTTATTGTAGAGATGAGGTCTCGCCAAGTTGCCCAGGCGGGTCTCGAACCCACGGGCTCAGGCAATCCACTCACCTCAGCCTCCCAAGGCGCGGGATTACAGGCTGAGCCACCGAGCCCGGCTACTCTTCAGCAATTTTACACGCAAACCATGAAGGGTACATTTTTTTCATTTTTATAATCTACTGCTTACATAATTTTTGGATTGTCTTCTCGATGATTTTAGACTTCAGATTTTCTCTTATCATTCTAAAGATAAGAATTTATAAATTATGGAGGGAGTGACTTTTTGATTTGTGTCTGTGTCAGCCTGTTCTCTTTAGTTATAAAAGTTATGTGTGAGTGTGGGTGTGTTTAAAGTTATAAGAGTTATAAAAGTCTCTATAGAAGTTATGTATATGTATATACACACACATCCTCCAATTTTTTTTCTCGCTATGTCTGATATGACTTTGTTGAATGTTAGAGCCCTTTTTGGCATTTTTTTTTTTTTTTTGGATACAGGTGGAAAGGTCACTAATGGAAGAAACTCCCAAGGTATTAGGAGCCAAGTGAACAGGACTCTATTTTCTTGTTATACTGAATATATTTTATACAGTTGAAAGGTGGTATGGAAGGTAAAATAAGGCCAAACAGGACATACACCATCAAATGTAGCTTCTTGACCTTCTCTCTTTCCTTTTCTGAGTGAATTTTGCTCAGTTTCATCAAGCAAGGACTTTTGTCTATTTTATATACTGTCAAATTTCATGTCTCCTGTGTGTCTGATGCATTGCAGCTGGTCAATACTTATTTGTTAAGTGAATAAATTTAGAGTGAATATGAAGATATTTATTCTAAGTATACTACACAAATGTTGCAAGAACCAAATAAGGTAATAACTAGAAATGTACTTTAGAAAAATAAAATCAACAACAAAGTTTTAAAAAAAACGGAATATACAGATGTAAAGAATTATGTCCTATTATTTTTATTCCTTTGCTATATATTTACTCCATGTCCATTATGCATGCTTAATTTTGCTGCATCATGAGACAGCACACAAAACCTATGCAGCAAAAAATGCTCTAATCATCTACAGAATAGAAGAAGAGTGTTGCATTTTTCTTAAATATTCTTATGATCTGCTACACCAGATTACCTTATATAGTAGGAGGAAACAGTAAGCTCTTTCAATATCATTTGAATATATATATGCATACACACACACACACACACACACACACACACACACATATATCTTTTTTTTTTTTTTTTTGAGTTGAAGTCTCACTCTGTCGCCCAGACTGGAGTGCAGTGGCACACTCATGGCCACCCCAGCGTCGACCTGCTGAGCTCTGGTGATCCTTCCACCTCAATCTTCCAAGTAGCTGGAACTACAGGTGTGTGCTACCATGCCTGGCTAATTTTTTATTTATTGTAGGGACGAGGTCTCACCAAGTTGCCTGGGCTGGTCTTGAACCCATGAGCTTGGGCAATTCACTTGCCTTGACCTCCCAAAGTGCTGGGATTACAGGCTGAGCCACTGAGCCCGGCCCTGACTATGTTTTTAAGAAATTCAATATTGTTTCATCAAGCAGTTATTTGTTGTTGTTCATTTCTCTACTAGGTATTTGAGATGTCTCAGTCAGTTGGGGAAAATACATTTTTCACCTCTATTTTTTCTTGTGATTTTATTGCAAACATTTTAGGAATGAAATTTCAAAATGATTTCTATAATTCTAACCCTTTTCTGGTATGAAGTCTTCCCAAGGGAAAGTAAGAAAAATTTACATTACCCCAACAGCAAATTTAAGGAGAACCTGCCATTGTACTAGTGAGAAGCCTGTCATCTTAATTCAATAGGTTTATAGAACCCAACAAAAGAAAAAAATGTATTTCATTTAGTTGCTTATTGACCAAATTCTCTAAGTGCATGGTCACTGAGTCTGTCAGGCTGCTTCTAATTTTATTTTTCCATTGTGTGATTGGTTTAATTTGTGTCTTGATTTTTTAAATGTTGTCTTACCATTTTTTTTTTAAACTTAAACAGTTTGTTTGCATATTTTCCAGAAAGGGAAGAATGCAGAGATTCTTACAAACTGTGTTTTTATCATAGTATTTACATATATAAACCCAAGTTTATTTTAGCATATTTGAAATGTCTATCAATATCTGTGTATCTTCCTATATATGATTGATTATATAGGGCAGAAGAGAGATGACTGTCATTGGATTCTGAATTTTAAAAATACCATTTAATAGAAATCTGAAGTAGGCATAATTACCCTTATTGTATCTTTTAAAAAATTGCCACTACTAATGAAAATGTCTTTTTCTTCCTTAACAAAAGAATCTGCCTCCAAAGGCATTATTGCTGGGAGTGATAATGATGAGATGATTGCGTTATAATGGAACAGAAACTGGGGGAAAGAGTAAGTCTTAGCTACAGACTATTGTAATTCCATTTGAAGCGTCAGACAGATATGAGGGAGTTTCTAGTGTGGAAGCTGTAGTAGAGAGATTTATTGTTTCTACCTGATATAAAGATCAATAAAGGCTTTGTGGACCTGACAGTATTTGCAAGCTATAAAGTCTCTCTCTCTCTCTCTCTCTCTCTCTTTGTCTTGTGTTAACTTATTGCCATTATAAACACATTTCAAAGAAAACCAATCTTTCCCTTTGCTCTGAATTAAATTCTTTCTCCAAAAGTGTACTTGCCACATACTCTCCTGCCGAAGGAGAATGGATGGGATTCATCTGCAGCTTATTGCAAGCGGCCAACTGTGGGGATTGTAGTAGAGGATGCTGCCTGCTGATTCTCTGAGCACTTGGGCACTTTCTCTGTTGATTCAGCTGCATTCTTGGGATGTGGGTGGGAAGAAATAGAGGGGGTCAATATCAAATTAAATTGTAAATGTAATTTTTTTTTTTTTTTTTTTTTTTTTTTTACCAATCTAGCTTTCCTGCCTCTTTAGAAAAATCCAGACAACCTAGGTCTCAAACACTTGGTTAACACAGATATCCAACTTTTTTTTTTTTTTTTGAGTTGGAGTCTGGAGTGCAGTGGCACACTCATGGCCACCCCAGTGTCGACTTGCTGGGCTCCAGCGATTCTTCTGCCTCAGCCTTCCAAGTAGCCACAACTTCAGGCGCACCATCATACTTGGCTAATTTTTGATTTATTGTAGAGTCGAGGTCTCGCCCAGTTGCCCGGGCAGGCCTTGAACCCGCAGGCTCATGCAATCCACTTGCCTTGGCCTCCCCAAGTGCTGGGATTACAGGTTGAGCCACTGAGCCTGGCCCAGGTATCCAATTATTTTGATTATAGAAATGGAATAT